CTCTTTATTAGAAGAAGATGCTTACAGCTACTTGGAGTTTTCAATCATTTTTAATCACTCCAGATTTCAATTGTTTTGACTGAAACTAGATGATGTACTCRATCTCAAGTGGTCAAGAGCTTAGCACGTTTTTTTCAAGTGGTATTGCCGGTAAGGATGGGACTGGACTTGTTAAGCCTAGTTCACCAGCTGGTATCACCAAGTGTTATGTGAATATACGATCTCCTTGACAGAATGKGAAGACACCCAGCTTGGCCCATGGCAAGTGAGAGGATGAGATGCCCTTCATTTCAGAACACCAAATGCCTTTTGGACCTCTTGTTTGCGTATAATCTTTGTGCTAGTTGAAAACCATGGGSTACTTTCTGTAAAAGTCTTCTCAGCCTGTGCTACCCAGAACCCAACTGGGGAGAAGTGCTGAGAGCTCCCAAGTGCACATGATTCCCCTGGAGATGATTCTCTTGTGCACCATGTGCTCAGCCTCTACTGCAAGGCAGCATCTCTGCCCCATGGGACTGTAATGCAGGACTTGGGCTGCCTATGGAGGCACCTTTTGCCCCTAGGCACCAAGGGGAGTAGCTTTCAAGGTYGTGTCATGATATTTTTGTGTGCCTGTGTGTTTAGGAAGTAGTTAGCCTAAAAAATAGGAAGAAACAAAGAGAATATTTCCCCCTTTTAGTCCCTTTGCAACTCAGTTTTGCATCTGAAAAATAAGAACAATATACTCTTGCTCATAAAAGTGAAGATTCATGTTGCATTCCTCATGAATCATGCAAATAGTGTGTCATGTCCCATTTCTAGCAAAGCTTACAAGGAAACAAACAATGTTATTGTCAGAGAACAGCATCAATAAGAAGGAAAAAGGCTGAGAGAGTGGTTTAGAGGTTTGTCTTTTTCTTCTCCTCCTAAGTGAGGAAGTCAAACTCTGTAGCTGTTTTCCTGTGATTTTTTTTTTTCCTTTTTCCTTTCTTGTCCCTGAATTAAGCAATGGATGCTCACAGAAGGCCTCGTGTCCCAGCAAGTGACCACAGTAGCACCAGAAGTCATTTGCAAGGGAAGACTGGTGCATGTAGGACAACATTATCACAAGACTGTTTTGACTTCCCAACGAGCCTTGTTATAGTTTTGTAGGGTAGCAAGTGCTGTTATGGCTTGTCAGATTTATTCCTTTGCTCTCCTTTTGTTCCTGTGTGGCATAATCTGTTTTCACAAACACGGTGATTTAAGGAGCTCAAAGGTGAGTTCCCAGGTGCTTTGCCTGGCTGGTGTTGAAATAGCTCAGTTTGGTTTCCCTCTTGAAGACTGTGCTCACACAGTGGAAAAATTGACACTGTTGGCATCCTTGAGCCTGCTCGAGGAAGGACGTTCCCATTGTGTGGCTGCRAAGGCCGCAGATGAAAAGAGGTGGTATGACTCAGAGCTTATTAAAAGGTATTAAAACACTTCATCTTTTTATCCGTATGAGCATAGAATGAAGAAGGCTGTAGGTGGCAATAACATTGGTGTCTCATTTTTCTTCATGTTTCAATAAACATTCCTGCACTGTAGAAGGGTAGGAGATTTTATTTAGCTGGAGTTGTCRAAGTGCTTGCTCCCATCAAATTTCATCTCACTTTTTCCTTTGTCCCTCTGGTGATGGGCATCATCTGTTCATCTCCTGCAGGGTTTTGAACTCAATTATTATGACTATCTCTTGCTGTCCTTATTTTCTCTGCACGATTTCTGTGTTCCCATTGTTTTAGATTAAATTAGCCCAGATCCGGTCCCTAGCCTTAGCAAATTTAAGCCTCAGTGCAAGAGAGAACATTCCTAATTTTTAACATTGTTATTGTCTTTGGTGAGCTTTTCAAAAGCTGTGATCTTGATTTTTGTACAGTCTTTGTGGATGTTTTGCCTTTTTTTCTTTTGCTTTTTCCTCTCATTCTCATACACTCAAGCCAGATAGCTGTGCTTTAGCACCTCGGTTTTATAGCTCGTAAAAACTGGCCTTGCCTTGCAGTTTTTACTCAAGTATATCTTTGTTAGACTTYCCTAAATTAGGACCAGGTCCTAAAGCACTGGAGTCTTATAACTCCATAGCAGAGCAAATGTCTYTTTCTATGTAGACTACTCCTTTCCTCCCAAATCTCCAAAATTCATAGTGTGTTAAWTGAAACTCCAGTTCAAAATGATGAGATTTTATTTCTGTTTATTAAGTGTTTCCATTAGATTACCTTCTTATGCAGAGTGCATAAGAAATAATTCAGAAACAAAACAAAAATATCAGACTTAGTATTTCAAGCTATTAGAATAAAATATGTAAAGGCTTTTTTCAAGATTGTTTTCCTTTCTTTTATTAAACCTCTGAGGGCTCTCAGTGAATGTGATGTGATTTTGCAAGTTATTTCAGTTGACAAATAAGTTCTTCCTTTGAATAAAATATTTGCTTGAAAAATATTTCACTTGGCTCCAGCAATATAGCATATGGCCCTGTGTAATTTCTCTCCATGGGATGTGTTTAACCTTGGGTGACAGGCATACTGTCAGTGGTTAATAATCCTCAGTGGAAAATCTGTCAGAAATAATGTTTTGCTTGTTGAGATCTCATTTCATTCTGTATTTACCTGTAATGCAGCCTGAGGTGACGAAGACTCGTTGCTTTGTGGGCAAGCTTGCACTCAGGGATTTCCCAGCACTTAGGGAGCTAAATCCTATTTTTGTGCTCTCCAAATGACCCCCCATGAAACGTACCCAAAAAGGAGAACTGTCCTGCAGAAATGGCCTTTCAGCCTTGCACAGCCATCACCTGAGATATAAATATGGTCTTGGCTGCTGATCTGGGCTTTTTTCTAATGCTGTATTGCCTCCTTATTGCTTAATTCCCTGCCATGGACTGGTCAAGAAGGGACAGAATGAGGAGGCGGGGAAATTATATGAYGTTTAGTAGTAAACTGGAGAAAAGATGACTACAGAATTCTGCATCCTATAGGAACGCTTCTACCATGCTGGATGTTGAAGGCATATTTAAAGCATAAGTCCAGCCCTACTTCAGAATATTTTGATGCATTAACTTTAATTGCTGAAGAAATGGAGAGTTTTTGGGCAGTTGAAATTATATTACAATATGTAGGACTGAAAAATTAATTTTAAATGGTTTGTGGACATACAAAGGGTTCATTCGCTGCATATAACATGCTCGTAAAATAATATCCTGTAATGTGCTGAACTCTTCATAATTTTCATGAAGCTGCATCTAATTGTACTAGAGTTGACTAATTCTGCCACTGCCATCCTTTGAGAGGAATAGCGTTTCAAGAGATGACTAACCCTCTAATTATTCATTAATTCTTAATTCAGAATGAAAATTCAACATCTACACTGTGTATATCTACTGCAATACCATACAGAATATGTAGAATAGGATCATTCATTTTGAAATGAATATTAGGTAGCACTAAATGTTACCCTATATTACTAACAACAGCTAACCACTTATGAATATAGGTGGTATTTATTATCTTATWTATTTTTATAATAGGGCTTTATTTGTATTTATAATGCATGATGGATTTCAATTTCTGGGAACACTCTGTTCTGAACATCAAGCTTGAGCTGATAGTTATATTTGTGTGAATCATCCGCTATGATCTCTTAAAAAATATTTGTTAGTCTTTGTCCTCTGTTTAATTAAAGGTGGTTTAAGTCTATCTGCATATTATTCTGCAAGTAGATCTAACCCTCAGATAGGTACAGCAGATGACACTTAACTCCAAATAAAAGGCAAACCTCCTCTGCTGAGGATGGAGCTGTGGTGCTATGTTGTGCTTCAGGATTGCCACATGGATGTGATGTTGGATGTGCCATGGATGTCAGTGAGGATAGTTTTGCTGGAARGAGTCTCTGATTCAGTGCTTGATGCTTATAATATAGGCAAAACATAAAAATACAAGCCAGATTCAAGGACGTGCTGCTGGAAGGTTACATATAGCCTTAAGTTTTACTCTTGCTCAACTATTGCAGTAGTCCGGTTATAACTACTAATTTTTTTGTAGAAYGTAAAAAAAAAAAAAAAAWTTTGCAAGATGWCCAGATCTGGTTCCAGACTTTAAATACTTTCTTATTTTGGTGGATTCTAGGCAGGTAATGTATTACCAAACTGAACTTTATTAATAAAGTGATTGAATGTAATGTGCTGGGTATTTTTAAATGCAAACTAGGGCTGCTGCTTCCTTTATAGAATTGTTCTTGGTGAGGTCCAGGAATCAGACTCTTAATTCAAGAGCTAGTTTCATAATGATTATTGCAGCAGGGAAGAGCTCTGAATTCAAGATTAAGCTGTGAGCTCCTCAGGCAAGTATGACTATGTTGGCTCTCTCAGGACTCCCATTCAAGGAAACAGCAAAGACTTTCCAAAAGTACACTAGTTACCTTTAAGTACAAAGTAAAATGGAATTACCCCTTTGTGCTTCATCAAGCTAGGAGATGTTACTTATCTCATTGCAACTATACATTTGTTACAGCAGCTGGGACATTTGCATGAAGAGATGTTCAGTTCCTGATCTAACCCACCTTTTTGACCATAGTTTACTGCTTTATAGATGTACCAGGTGAAATGTCTTGGAGTTTTATGAGAGCAGTGATGTCGTCATTATCATGAATTTAACTTTGAAGAGATTTTACCATGCATTTGCACAGAAATAGGGTCTCATTTGATCTGTTTGTGGTGTAACTTACTGTTTCATGTAAGTTGTGGTAGGAAAAGTGCTAAGCCATGGTAGCGGTCTGCAGTGGTTTGACCTGAATGTAGTGATTTGTTTGCCAGTTCACAATAGCAATGTAGATATAAGATATTAGGACAACTTCTATGGAAAATTAGTGTTGGTTAATGTGATCAAAACCTCTTTTGGCTTTTTTTTTTTACAGCCTTTTTAATATATGGATTTAAACACTGTGCAAGGATAGTAGCACTTTCCTTCTAGGAGTGACTTTATTGATTTGCATTTTTCTCTTTTTACATGCAGAAGACTGTCTACAAAGAGCAAAGACATCAATACTTGTGTGAATATATGTACCCACCTGAATGTATATGCCAGAACTATTGATGGGATTTCTTCATGTCCAGGAAAATTCAATTGAAACAGTTCTGTGAGCCTCTGATCTGCAGTTTTCACTASTGTGATAAATTATGAATTCTGCGGGAGTCTCTGTGGTCATTTGGCATATCAGCAGATTGTGAAAAGAAATGGTAYCTTTGAGAGGAGCTATGATTTTGATACAAATTGTATTATAATGAAGAAAYTTATTCCCTCCTTAATCTATTCGTTAATGTTAAAATGCAGAGAAATGTCYTGAAAGCAGAGAGAAGCCTGCTGTAAGGAGCTGTCAGAGGGGTGGTAGCGCATGGTGCCTGGAGAGATGGAGACTGTGTGGTCCAGCATCTCTGGAAGATGAGAATAGAGAAACCGTACAGAGAACAGGCTCATAAGAATTTCAAAGCTCCTGTGGAGATATGCTCTAAAATATTCCTTTTGAAGACCTGGAACTGAACCCGAAGCCTGCTCAGGCCCTTTAGAGCACAGGGAGGTTGCATTCATTTTGAAACACCTCCCTTTAGTGCCCCTGAGCTTCTGACCGAGCTTCTGTTTCTCCCGCTTAGTCCTTTTTCTTTTTACTGGAATTATTTGTCTGTGGGGCAGCGGTCACCAGATCTAGGTTCGCAGATCCCTTGGGATGGCTGGAGGAGGGTGGTTTTCCTGGAATTCAGTTCCTAATGAGGAGCTTGGATGACCACGTAGCCTGTGCAGGGGCTTTACCACCTCTTTATTTTACACAGCGCTGCAGAGAAATTAGCCACTGTCAGACAGCCAGTGCAATAGAGTCCTTCCCAAGCCCCAGACCAATTTTTGTTCATCTCTGGAACTGGTTGTTCCTACCTCTTCCATTCAGTCCCTTCGAATAAAGACGTCTGAATATGGAACTATAATTTCCGTGCAGTTCTAGCCCGTGTGCAGGTAACGGGGACGCAATGTACTGCTGGAAATGCATGTTGTATCGTGCAACTCGTTCAGCCTGTAATTACCCCTGTTCCCCCTCCTCCTCGTGGAGCAGAACAGCTACAGACACGTAGGTGGCCATGCCTCTGCTGTTTGGTAACTGCCGAGATAACAAATGGTGGGATAGGCTAGGACTCAGGGATATGGTGGCTTTTAAAATCCTAATTATTTTCCTAATCCTAATTTATTGTGCTGATTTATTGTGAGGATTATGGTAAATATGTGGAATGTGTGATGTTTAGGATTCAGAAGCAGGATTTGTTCAAATACCTCCTCAGTTTGGGGMTTGCTCAGAGATTGGCTGAGTGATGGTTTTAACGAGGAAAAGGGTTATATTGACTGAAAGCAAGTCCTAGAAGGAAGTGCCATAGGTATGGCCAAAATGACATAAATAAGGGTAGGAGATCCCGTGCAAAGTTTTGTGGAAATGTGGTGCCTTTGGGGGACAGAAGAGCAGAGATGCTGCACAGGGACTTCCTCTGTCTTCTGCTGTCCTGGATTTCATGCTGGGAGCATGCCAAGCTCATCAGCCTACTTCTTTTTTTTTTTTTTTTTTTTTTGGGGGGGGGGAAGGCTTCCTTTGAAGCCAATCCAAAGGTGCTGATGTCAGTGGAAGCCTTACTTTCCTCCAGGGGCTTTGGATGAGGCCTTTGCTGGGTGGGAATGGTATGTAGGGCCTCTGGCAACATCCAGGGATGGGCGGGAAGGGGGAACGTATGAATAGACACAAATGCAGCCTTGGGGTTGTTTAAGCTTAAGTATGTTCAGATTTTTTTTTTTTAAGGAGCCTGAAATATTCAACATTATTGATTTCCACTTTTTTCCTGCTAAACTTCCAAATTGTAAAATAGGGGCCATTGACAATATTTTTGCTACAAGGGCTTGTTCTCAGTTTCTACCTGTGTGATTTATTTATTTATCCACTCCTGGGAGAACACAGTTCCCAAGCCAGGAATAGTCTTTTTTAGGAGCCAATAAGTCAGTGCTTCAGGCCTGATGGTGCCTGTTCATTGGCATCACCTGCTATTTTTCATTCCTCATATTTGTGCTTCCCCCCAGCAGAGCAATGTAGGGGGATCGGCCACAAACACTGCGTTTCTGATATTTTCAGCTGCAAAGTGATGGATTTCAGACCTTCACTGTTTAGAATGAGTATGTCTGAATCTAGGGGGTTTTGTGCTGGTTAAACAAATAACAATCCCGGTAATCRGACCGAGATCTTGTTTGCAGATCATGACACCCATAACCTTAGTTTAGACCCTGCTTTATGAATTTTCTACAAATGCATCTGTTTACAGCACTTCCATTTTCACTGCATTTTACATTACAGCACTTACATTTTCACTGTAGCTATCAGCTAGTTCCCGACTGGATGCGACTGAAACTAGGATGGGAGCCAGCATGCTCACAGGGAGCCTTTTGTCTTTTTCCACACTTACCAAAGCAATTTTGCAGCATGAGCATCGAGAACATTGCCAATAGTGTAGTATTATGAGCAAATTTAAGATGGAATAATTATTGCATTAACTTGTGTTTTTGAAAAATAACCTCAGCACCGTGTTATTAGCCTCATGACAGACTTAAAAAGTATTTTCTAAAAAGTGGAGCTTTTATCCTATCTTTTTTCTAACCAAAGTAAGTCAAGGGTAAAAAAGGAGACAAATACTATAAGAGAAATTTTCAATGCAGAGGAGCTTCATTAGAACAGAAGTGGTATTGCAGTGGTTTAATTAYTATAAAATAATAATTATTTTAAGGCAACAACATATTAAGCGAATGATTGAACTATTGATAGTACAATCATGATAAATACCACTAAAACATGGCTGTAAAATGGCCAAGTGACAAGAGAAAACAGAAAGCATTAAAACTTATCGAAAGAGGTGTATTCTTCTGGTTTAGAAATATTTACATTCCAGGATCAGGCTTTGTGCAGAACTACTAGTGTTTCATTGAGCCATATAATTTCTTGACATGATTTTCAYGCAAACGTAGCTGCTGAATTGCAGTTAGTGGTACTTAACTGATTGAGGAAAGGTGAGTTTCTGCCCTTGCTACCCCAGGCATGTTGTCTCCACAGGGTTAAAATCACTGGGATTTCTAAAATAAGTGAGATGGAGGAAGACAACCTAGACTCGAATGTATTGCTCTGCATATTTAGGAGGGGAAAAGTCAATGCAAGTCTAACAGAAGTATTGCTTAAGAAAAAAATAAATAAAATAAAGCCATATTGAAACATAACCTGCAAAGAGCATGTACCTGTGAACCCAGCAAGGACTCCCACTCCGCACGCTCCTCCTGTGGGCATAATTATGGTATTTGACTTTTAAATCTCTGCATGTTCCGGCAAGGTGATGACTGGAATAATAATAATTGAAGAGTCTGATGTTACCTAGCAATGATGCAGTTTATGCTTTACCAGTGTCTTCTAATGTTATGCCTTATAAAAGATGACAAGACTTGCTTTAAGTCTTAATCCATCAGCAGCACTATAATCTACTCAGGTGAGCTGTATCCCCTTCTTGCACAGATAAACAGCATAAAAACTGGGTCATTTTGAGAAACTTTGAAGCACTGTTTTGGGAACAATTACAGTGTGTGTTGGTTTGATTTTTGTCCTCTGTTTCTGGCCCAGATTCAAAAAAAAAAAAAAAAATCAGTTTGAATTTTCAGGAGTTCATGATGAAGAATGAATGCCCTGTCTCATGCAATATTGTATATATTTACTACTGACTTTGACACTTGTATTTTTAAAAAAATCTAAACTTTTAATTAAAGAAGTTGTTGTCTTCAGTAGGCAATTGGTCAATGAAGTGATGTACGACTTCCAGATCCAAAGTTTTCCAGCATATTCTTCTTCCACACTTCTGATGCCTTCTAGCCAGAGCTGTGTCACTGCCGGCTTTTTTCTAGCAGCCTTTCTGGGCTGCCACTTCATACCCCAACTTGTGCCTCGAAAGCCTGATCTATCAGCCTTCTCCTGACTGCAGGGATTTTAGACTTAAGCCTTTTGACACTGGATGCCTGACAGACTGAGGGGTGGCTCTGGGTGGCAAGTTCTCACGTTCCCAGGGGTTGTGCTCAAAGAGCTTGGCCAATGCTGGTCGCAAAAGCTTCTGTCTGTTGGRCAGTTTTGCTGCTGGGAGGCTCAATGGCTTTAACTCCTAAGGACAGGAGAACAAGAAAAACTCAGGATGGTAAAACAGGAAAATGAGCAGGAATGCTGCACTGATAGCTCTTTGTTTAATCAACAGGGTAGAGGTGACTTTTGTCCATCTTCCCAGAAAAGTGAAGGCATTTCCATGTTATTTCTGAGTTCAGTTAGCATTACTTTTCAAGCAGCTACCCTTCAGCTCCCTGCATTTGGCAAATTGCATGATAATTAGAAATAACACCAGGATAAATACTGCCTTTTAATGTTTGTACCGCTTGTAAAATTTAAGCAGCAACAAAAAAAWTCCAATCATTTTCCTAAACAAAGCAAAAATTAATTATGTTTCTTTCAAATAGTCGTCTTAAGAATTAATCTATCGGGGGAAAAAAAATATATGATATGCCAAGCTGCAAGTGGTGGCATTGTCCACTAATAAAGTGAGCACAGTTTGTTGGCAACCTTCTGATTAAACTTTCCGTCTTCCTCCTTTTCAGCCCAGTTTAAATCTAAACATTGACAGAAACAATTTCTGTGAGGAAAATGGAAAAGTTCATAGGGTGGTTGAAGTTGCATAGCCTTCCCCATGAATGTGTCTGGGAATTCCTTCAATTTATGTATAATTTCTCTTGCCCCTGAGGTGCAATGTGAGTGACTTCCCTGAAGCGTTCCTGCTAGGCTTCTTGCATACTGTAAAGCTGTGATGTCCCAAGCAGGACCAAGCTTCACACAGCAGTTTGCCATGACCAGGTTCATTATCATGATTGTTGTCATCAAAAACTACCAAAATATGCAGGTAGCTTCCTAGAGCAAAGCTGCTCTGAGGAGGAGCAGAGCTCTGCAGATGGAGCCTTGGGAGAGCTTTATCTCCACACCTCCAGCAAGAGCTTTTCTTTGACCTTCAGCTACCGCTGCTTCTATTTTCACTCTCACCTTTGGCTGGTATTTTGGCTGAGCACCTTGGTGCTGAGTGTCTGTGTGTGCTCACACCCACAGCGAGGTCCCGCTCTCCTCAGCCTTTCCTGCGACCTCTTGGCACGGTGGTAATGGAAACAGTAAAAACTTGCACCTCTCCTTCCCATGGTGTTAATAAGCTGCATCCATCAACACATGAGCATCCCTGTGAGATAAAGCCAGCACCCCTGAGGTGCGAAGCAGCCTGGTCCTGCTGTTGCTATCGCCTCCAGGCCAGGGTGTGAAAAACAGAAATGGGAATTAAACCTCACACCTTTCAAGGAGGCATCTGTCCTGCCTGGGAGCACAGAGCAGCACCAGAGGGACAGCACATAGTGATTTACCTCCTTGAAAGCAAGGTGTTTGTTTTAAAAAATATATAGGGCTATGCTTGATAAAAGCCAGGTCTGGTAGCTTGGKGCTCCTTAGTCGGTACCAGTGTTTGTCCATCCTGGAGCATCCCAATGTGGAGCTGGGGTGCAGCCCTGCAGCAGGATGGAAACTTTCCA